GCTGCTACAAGGGAGGAGTTCCTGCAGCAATTCCCTCTGTCCCATGGAGTAGAGGGGGATGTCACTACCTCAAGAAGCACCTAAAGCACAACCTGAGCCCCTCAGGCCTGAGGAGGCTCCAGGACGAGCAGAGGGATGGAGCAGCTCTGCTGGCAGGAAAGGCTGGCACAGCTGGCATTGTTCACCTGCACAGGAGAAGCTTTGGGCTGAGCTCAGGGCGGCCTTGCAGGGCCTGCAGGAGCCCCAGGAAAGCTGGAGAGAGACAATTTCCAGGGGATGCAGGGACAGCACACAGGGAATGGCTCCCAGTGCCAGAGGGCAGGGCTGGGTGGGATATTGGGAATGAGGAATTGTTCCCTGGCAGGGTGGGCAGGGCTGGGATGGAATTGCCAGAGCAGCTGTGGCTGCCCCTGGATCCCTGGCAGTGCCCAAGGCCAGGTTGGACACTGGGGCTGGAGCAGCCTGGCACAGTGGAAGGTGTCTCTGCCATGGCAGGGGTGGCACTGGATGGGCTTTGAGGTCCCTTCCAACCCAAACCATTCTGGGATTCTGTGAAGTACAAGATTTACTGCTTTAATCAAATAACATCAGAGACAGCTGAGCCTGAAGCAGAACAGATTCAAAAACCATCTCAAAACTGAGCTGATACTAAATTTGACCTCCAGCACTGACTGACTGGAAGAAGTATTTTGGCCCAGATTTTTCTCAGACAATTACTAAACTGAAAAAGTTGGTGAAAATATTAAAATTTGGATGACCCTTGGAAAGCCTCATGGCCACAAATGGGCATCACAGGCAAACCAACCTGCAGCTTTGAGTGCCTGACCTCAGTCAGCTCCATGGGGGCATGTCAGGAAAGCAAATAATAGGATTACTGTCCAGTAGGACACAAAGCAGAACATTTGCAGAATTATTTGGGTTGGAAAAGACCTCCAAGGTCATCAAGGCCAAGCTGTGCCCCATCCCCACCTTGTCCCCAACCCAGAGCTCTGAGTGCCACATCCAGGCCTTCCTTGGACACCTCCAGGGATGGGCACTCCAAACCTCCCTGGGCGGCCCCTGGCAAAATTTAACAACCTCTTCTGGGAAGAAACTCTTGGAACAATTGCTGGAAACAAAATCTTCACTGAACTTCATGCTCAGACAAACCTCCACCTCCAGAATTCCTTCCTTTGAGAGGCAGGGTGTCAGCTGGGGACTGTGGGGATTCTTATTTGGGTTTAAATCCAAAATCTCTACCACAGACCTTGCAGGAGGTGAAGTTCCTGTCCATAAAGACAGAAAATGTGCTTCCCACAATACCTGGGAATAAGGTTATTTATAAAACCCCCATAGACTATTTTTTGCTAAAAAAAAACCCTCCAAACCCCACTAGATTTTAATAGTCTTTAAAAGTAAATATTCCTCTATACACACACTCTGATGGGGAAGGGGGAGAACATAAAGAAGTGGAAATTCCAAGGGCAGGTACTAAACCCTCTGTTGCAGAGCATTTCCTCACACATGGCATTACCAGGTTATCCCAAATTATTTCCTGCCACTTGGAAAAAGCCCACAGCAAGCTGATGGAGCTCCATTGGGCCGCCTTAATTCCAGGTTCAGGCTGAACAGTTCTGCAGCAGCAGCTTCTGAGGAATGAACAAAAGACTGGCTTGTTTCTGACAGCATCCACAGGGGTTCCTGCAAGTGCTCTCCAGGCTTTAAGGGTGGAATTAGCCAGGCAGAGCATTCTGTACTTCTCACTGTGCTTTTTCTGCACAAAAACATCTTTATAATCCCACTTTGGAAGCGAGTTCAGTGGGGCAGCACAAAGGGAACAGCAAACCCACCTCACAACCTGCTTTGGCTCCACCACAACCCTTTCAAACTCGAATTTTACAGGATGATGGATGCTGAGGTTTTCTCTGCTGTGCTCTCACCTTTCCACAGTGGCTGTTCCCATCCAACCTCACCTCCCACAGGTTTGCTTTGGGTTTTTCTTTCTTTAAATTAAACGAGGCTGTACGTTATTCTCTGTTCATCTGTTTAGTAATCAAACTGCTGCCTTCACTGATCATGGCTCTATTATTTTTATTTTTCATCTCTCCTTTTGTTAATTCCCCATGAAGCAGCTTTAAAGTCTCTGGAACTGACAGAAAAAAAGGCTGCTTTGATTTCATGAAAAAGGATCCAAGTCAAGCCCAAAAGAAGAATTAAAATATCAGTGCTGAACATGACATATGGAGTTTTCAGTGAATGAAAGCATGTTGGAATTCTCTGATTCAAACACAGGGGAAGAACCTGTGGTCTTCTCAATGAATGCTTTATGCAAATCGTCCTTTGAAGGTGCATCACTATTCTCATTAAACACTTCCTACTTTAAGCAATGGCCCAAATTTCCCATCCAAAGACCTTTTAAACTTTTAGTTATACAATTGTTTGAAAGGGAAAAAACCCTTGAGTTTAACCTTCTTCCACACACACAATTTGGGGTGTGTGGCCCTCCCTCACCTCAGGATGCCTTGACAGAGTGAAACAGTGCTTTGCATTTTTATCCCTGTGAGTCAATGGTTTCCTGCAGAATTTACTGCGTGGAATTCTCAGGTGCCTCTGCTCGTCAGCCATTCTGAGAGCTCTCAACAGGATCTCAGTGTTTGCTCTGAAGTAAAAAAAGCCTGACCTCAGAGCTGTGATCTCACTTGGCTCAAGGAGGTGCCTGTAGGTGCTGATTGCTGCTATGTGCAGCAGCTGTCAAAGCTTTCAGTCCAAAATATTTAAAGGGGAAAAAAAATGCAGACCTGATGGCAGAAAAAAAAAAAAAAAGTAAAATCATTAATCTCTTTGACTTTCATTTTATTTTTAGCTCGTTTAGATCTGTCAATGTTTTAGACACAATCCAGAACATTAACCAAATCAGAAAGAATGACGTAGAACAAAATACTTGCCTTTTTCATTTTTTTGGCACAAAAATTGTAGAATTACATGTCAGAAGTGATGTTCTTCCTCTGCAGCTTTGGCAACAAAGCACTTTGCAGGGTAGAGCCAATGTGAGCATGGAATCTAGAAAGAATTAAATTGTTTCCTGGAGCTGTGCAGTGGGATGAGGAATGGGAATGATGAGAATCCTGTCTGCAACCACTGTGGGGCTGGAGCAGCCTGGCACAGTGGAAGGTGTCCCTGCCAGTGTCCCCAGGGGTGGGAATGAGATCTCCAAGGTCCCTTCCAGCCCAAACCTGGCTTGGACTTCACCTTTGTACAAAAAACCTGCTCTCACACCCGTGGCCTGCACTGCACAGACTCCTACAGCTTCCAAGGCAAAAGCAAAGAAGCCTCCATAAAATGCACCTTGCAGCTACATCACCTTGGGAGTCAGAGCCTTCAGGAATGGGAAAACACCTCTGCCCACTAAATAAATTCTGCAGTGTGACAAAGGAGAGTGGACTTGAGAAGAGCCCTTGGTTTGGAAGACATTCAGCAGAAGACAGATCAGTCTTATCTAAAAAAAAAGGTAATAAATGGCTTAAATGTCTTTAAAAAATGGGAAAAAATCCCTCTTCCAGTCTCACAGTTTACTCTGGTTTCACAATTTGCATTTAGCAAATACCTCAGGAAACCAAGCCTTACACAATCCCATTTCAAACTTCTCCCCCACAGCTCTGAAGCCATCTGCCACATTTGACAAGTGTGAAGTTGGTGAACTCCCACCAGGATTACACCCAGCAGCTGTTGGGAAACAAGAAAGCCTCACTGCAGCCTCTTGGTAGATACTGGAGAGCACAGAAAGGAAAATAAAAAAAGGCAGCAACATTCAAATATGGAAAAAAATCTTCAGTCAACACTCACATCTCATGAGACACAGTTCATCATTAGTTCTGAGGCTTCCAAATATTTAAAGGGGTGAATATGAGCTGCTTCCTACATCAAATTATGGGAAAAGGCAGAATTTTAAATTAAAATCTCTTACTTCATTGCCCTACTGTACCTCCCCACTACATTCTACCTAAACATTTCCTGCTCTGGAGAGATCTGAAGCAAGAAAAGTGAACCCTTGAGGAATTCTGCCAGAACTCCAGGTTTCAGTCTGATTTCATCTCCCAGGCTGCCATGGTTTTTTGTTTCCCACTTTTATTCAAGGTGTTTAGGAGCATCTCACACCCCAGCATTAAGCCAGGTAGTAAAAACTGAAATAAATGTAATGTAGTAACTGTTTTAAAACATTGCCAAGTGCCTGGGTGACCACACCAATACCAGAAATACATTCACAGTTCCTCTAAGGGTCTGCATAATTTACTGTTAAAGACATTTCTTGTTATCTGCTTTATTTATTACCAACCAAACACATAAAAGTAAGAAAATGGTGCAGCCAACTTTCAAAACAACAGAATTGTCAGCTCAGATCACACATAAAGCAAATTTATCAATTAAAAGGATGGACAGAAAATGGGGAAAAATAAACAGAATTTGTTCCAAAATCCAGTTCCAAAATCCAGCACCACTTTAGGCACTAAACAGAATAAATAAACAGAATTTGTTCCAAAATCCAGCACCACTTTAGGCAAGATGTGCTCATCTGTAATTACCTGAACTGAAATTTAAATCAGTGACAGCTCTGGGAAGGAAAACACTGTTCAGAAATATCCACTGAGCATCCAGTGTAAATCAAAGCTGCACCCAGCAGAGAACAGAATTACCAGGGAGCAAATTAATAAAACAATAAAGTTTTCTTAAACAAAATGTTAATTTAAACAGAGTACAACTCAAAACTGCACCTCAATCCTAGTTAATTCTTGAAATAAACTGCTAAAATTGTTACCAACTTCCAGAGAATTTTCTGAGACACTTTAAAGCCTTTTACTTTCCTCTAAAAATCACATGCTCTAAGAGATCTTTTATTATTCCTACTATTGCCCAAATTCTGGTGTTTTAAAGTGAATTAAATCAGTTTGCCCAGCAAATCCAGCTGAAGCAGCCTGTGACCTGCCAGCCCCTTTGACCAGGAGAGGTTATTTTTCACTGGCAAGTTTTAAAGGCATTTACCATACTTTAATTACTGCATTTTGTACCAATATATACATTAAAAATATGGAGCCATAAATAAACATAAGCAAAATTCTCAGTGGATGGAAAAGAACAGAGAATGCATTTCTTTGATCACAAACAAATCTTTTAACAACATCAAATATTAGAAAAACCTTCAGCTCCCAAAATAAAAAAGGGAGAGGTCTTGTTAGATACAGACAGAATTCCTTGTCTCCATTTTCCTCTTTAAAATAAAAAAGGAATACTTTAGGTAAGACAATCCCTTCAGGAGGAGAAAAAGGAGTTGCTTTTCATATCCAAGAGATCATTCCTGAAGTCACTCCAGAAAAAAGTCTTCAAGCCATGCAGAAGGGTGTTCAGTGATGAAGTTAAAAGCAACAAAAATGAGTGGAAAAGTAAAAATCTACTGAAATTTATTCTACTTCAAAGAAAAAAAAAATCCCAGAAGTCCTCTGGAGAAGAAACTGGAGTTTACAAAAGTGCAGCATAACTGTCCTTGTCAGATGTAGATGTTATTGTGAGTTTCACTGGCTGTCAGGAACTTCTTCAAAATCTTTGTGCTTTCAGAGGCATCCTGGGGAAAGGAAGAGAGGATCAACATCACCACAGTGCTGGGAGCAAAGCAAGAGCTCCCCTGGCCCCATTTTCAATACTCTGAACGTCACTTTTATTAATATTTTAACTAACTTTTATTAGATATTATAATTAAATAATTAGATATCATTTAATTAGATTAATTAAATATATTAACATCACTTTTATTAAGATATTAACTGAGCAAAACTCAGGTCTTCTGAATGAAGTTATCCACAGGAATCAGCAGTGCAGGAAGAAAATGGGATTTATTGTTTTGCATTCCTCTCTGCTTGGACATGAGGGGAAGAGTCTCTGCCATTGTTCTCCTTTGGAGTTTAAGTATTTATATCTCACTCAGACTTACTCAGCAGAACAGAATGAGCTGCACTGAAAACTGATTTCAGTGAAATAAACACCTCAGTACACACAGGCCTCTCTGGACATTCAAATCTGGGTTCAAAGTGTTCTCAACCAACCAGAATTCAATTGAAAACATTTCAGAACGAGTAAAACATTCATTTTAGGAGCTGCAATGGGAATTTATAGAGCAATGGAATTTACTGTGAGGGTGGTGGCACACAGAAATTGTGGCAGCCCCATCCCTGGAAGTGTTCAAGGCCAGGCTGCATTTCACAGCTGCTGGATTAGTGTAAAAATTTTTTCAGAAATGTGGCCTTTTAGCTCCAAAAAGAAGTCAAAGGTCAAAATGGGTCATTTTAAGAAACTTTCCTGTATGCCAGAAGAGAGGCAGATATAGAGCTAGAACAGAGCCATCTGGTATATGAATATAAAATGTAAAAATAATTAAAAAAACCAGAAAACAGAAAGCTCAAAAGTTTTAAATGAGGCAACTCCAAAGGAAACTGCAGCTTAGACAAGCACAAGAAACCTCTCCCTGATATATCCATACCATTAGAAGAGCCTGAAAATTCAAAAGGAAGTTTTGAAGGAGGCTGTAGATTGATTGTTTCTAAGCCACACAGATGTTACAGCAGGTACAAAGCACTGCCATTAAAATCTGCATTTTTCTGCCTTTTCAGATGCAATCCCCACAGGGGAACAAACCCAGCAGAATGCAAGAGATGAAACCAGACAAAAGCTCCCCTCGACTTTAAATATGGAATTTTACCTTGGCTAAACTCTTGAGGAGTTCAGAAGAGAGCAGAGGCTTGAAGGCTTCAATGGTCACCGTGTCCAGCTTGATGACATCAGTGTAGCACTGGTACAGCACTGCAGGGATCTGCCACACCTGGCAGTAACTCAGCACTGAACAAGGGCAAAAGAACACCTCTGGTCAACTCAGCACAAAAGGAACCTCTGGGCTGTGTACAAAAATCACAATTTTAAACCCATGGGAGTTAAATTACCAGCTCAGGATTCTGACTGCTGCAGCAGCCACTCCTCATCCCCCAGCTAGACAAGGAAAATTAGTTAAAACCAAAAATTAGTCAAAACCAAAAATTAGTTAAAACCAAAAATTAGTTAAATGCAGGGGTTTCTTCCTGGCACATACCTTACCTGGAAACTGTACATAAAAACGAATAAATAAAAAAAAAATTATACAATAAATAATTAATTAAATAAATAAAACCAAGAAAATAGTGTATTAAATATTTAATAACAAAATATTCAATATGTTTCATCAAATAATTAATAAATATTTAATAATTAAATAAATAAAACCAAGAAAATATTGTATTAAATATTTAATAACAAAATATTCAATATGTCTCATCAATTAATAAATATTTAATAATTAAATAAATAAAAACAACAAAATATTTTATTAAATATCTAATAAAAAATAAAAATAAAAAAAAAGAATAGCAACGTCTGCAAAAAACCCAAACACTCCCCCAAAAAATAACCAAAAAAACCCACCAAAAAACAAACAAACCATAAAAAGGAATGTGAACAAGAAAAAATCATCCACTTTAACTCCTGCCAGACAAGCTTTTCCTCATGCTGCTACCATTAGGGATTCTAGGATGAAAAAATCTAGGTTCTTATTAAATTACATAATAAAACTGAACCTAATTTTTCCATGAGGTGGATCAGTAGACCTGTGCAAGCTTCCTTTCCTGTTATATACAGAAAGGACTTTATGAGCTTTTACTTTGGATGCTCAGGTGAAAAAAATTCTTAATAAAACTTATTTAATTCCTAAGTAAAATATCCAAAAAACCTCACTGCACAATATGCTTTATAAGGCTATACTGGAGAATTTCCCAGTACTTCTGTCCCACACATAACTGGTGAAATGATTTGTGGCTGGTTTGGAAAATTATCCCTATTTTCCAGGGCAATGTGTTAGATGTGAATCTGGCAGTAATTAATTTTTAAAAAGCTGACTTGTCAGCCAGTTCCCACAATTAAGCAAAAATTCTAATTGCAGTGGGATGCTCCCCAGGGGGAATTCTGTAAATAACTGAAATTGCCAAGTACCAGCAGCAGGAAGGTCCCTCACAATGTTGGGCTGCTCCAGCAGCGGGCAGCAGACCTGCTCCTGGAATTCTTTGGTCTTCAAGGCTTTCAGGAATGGAGATACAAGTGTCAGAGTGGATTCCTGAGTTTTATAATCAGCTACAGGACACGTGGAAAGGATGGTCACTTGCAAGCCTTTCTTCTGCATGGAGCCAAAAACCTGAAATTCAAAAAAAAAAAATACATCAGCAAAAGTTCTCTTCTCACAATAAAAGCAGAGGAACCTCAAGGATTCATTTCAATTTCAGAGCAAAGGGCACTTGAACTCAGGTTTGCAGGAGCAAAACCAGTCTGAATCACAGCCTTCAGGTAGAAATTTCCCAGGCATTGCTCCTGGGATGGAGATAAAAACCTCAAAATAACAGCTGACATATTTACAGAGTCAAGTGATCTTCTGAAGAGGTTTTAGGTTTTCAGCACTTTCTATTCAATACATTAAGATTTACTCCTTTAATTAATGGTGATTCCAGAAAGGATTCCAAATAAAAACAAGCAGTTCACTGAGCTGCATAACATTTGAAATGAAAATTGTGCTCCCCAGATGTCCTACAATATTGTAAGAGACTTTATTTTGAATGCACAGATTTTATTTATCTATTCAAGTTGAATTGAGAAAGAGAACCCTAAATTTTCTTTCTCATGTTCAAAGAACAAAGTTTTGAAGTACAAAACCTTCTGGCCATTACAAAATACCAACAAGGAAAAAAAATAAGAGAATTTGGAAACTGTGACAGAAACTTGTCTGTTTCTGTCTGTGTACCAGTTCCAGGAGGAAAGCTGCCTGTGCCATCCCATCACTGTCACTGTGTCACCACTGTGACAGAAATCTGACAAATATTCAGAAGCCCACCTATTTTCCACTTGCTTTGTTGGGAACACAGGCTGGAATTCATGGCTGCAAAACTCCAACCTGTGTGTTCTGGTTTGTCAGTGATCCTTACAGAGAAAACACACCCAGATGTGAAGATCTGGCTTGTGGAGATGGGAGATGCTCAGTAAATCAAGATTTACACACAGAACAGGGCTGCCACTCACATGAAAAGCAAAAAGATTGCCAGCACATTGTTTCTGCTGCACATTTGAAAATACCAATAACCACAAAATCTAAAAATACTCAGGAGCATTGACTTGGTCCAACCACACTCCTACTGTTCAGGAACACCCACACTGGAAATCACACATATCCCAAACAACTGGGGAAGACAACAACCCCCAGCCATCTCTCTTCTGCAATCCCACTTTAAATTAAGTGCAGGAACGTGTGGAATACACCAAAACATCTGAGGTCTCAGGGGTTTTAAACTTCCACATGAGCTGTGATCCCCCAGCCAAGCTGTACTTTCCTCTAAGCCCAGCTTTAGAATCCCTGCTGGTGCATCAGCTCAGCAGAGATTTAAAGGCAGGCAGGCAGGGAGGGAGCAGACAGACAGCAAGACAAAATAAGCCACACTTCCTCCAGGCAAAGCAGTGACCCAAATCCATCAGGAAAATCAAGAGGAGGAACATTCAGCCCTTGGCTTTATCTTATTAAAATCAAAATGATGATATTTGGAGGGACTCCCCTGAGCCAGCAGTGCTCCTGTACCTGGGTGATGCTGGGCTGAGGCCCTGGGAATGTTAAACCTGGGAAAGGCACAGAACACTCCCAGCAGGTGACACCATCCACCAGGAGCTCCACAACTGGTTTGTCTGGTGATCCTTTGGCAGCTGGACAAATTGCTGCTGGTTTTTTGGAGGAAAAAATTCTCCCAGAGGTGAAATGCAGCTGAAATAAGCCATGGGAAATGAAAAGCAAGCAGGAAAAAGGTTTGGGAAGTGGTTAAGGGCCAACAAAACTGAAACTGTCCAGAAGGAGTGACTGCACTCAGCTGGGAGCTTACAGCAGATACAGCTGGCAGCATCTTGAAAAGGATTTCTCACATCCTGCAGAGGGTAAATTTATCTATTTTTGAATATTTAATAAAAGAAAACCACAGGGGAAACTTATTTAACACTGTCATGGTTAAAGTATCAGAGAGCAAGATCCCCACCCTCAGGATTTCATGACTCCATTTATTTTCTTGCCAGTTTTACCTTCTCAAGCCACTGGAACTGTTGATCCTCAGCCACGTAGCAACTACACTGGCACAATAAAACCTAAAAAAAGTAAAAACTTGTGTAAGCAAGTGGTTTAAAGGGCACAACAGCAGCTCATCATCACCTGTAAGGGTGATGTGGCTGCAGACAATTTTGGGTTTCTTTAACTCTGTTTCAATGAGGATTTTTTTGCTTACAAATGCAGTGAAGCCACGGGGCTGTGACATCTCTGTGCTGAGCTCCAGACAGAACTTCACACAGTTTTAGTGAGAATTAACCCTTCAGATCACTTATGAGATTAACCCATGATCCTGCAGTGCCTTGTTTGGGGGTGGATGAAGGCTCTCTTTTTCAGAAAGCCAAACCCCAGAGGAATTACTGCTCGAGTCACTTACTGTGGGATCTGATATCAATCTGTAGAACAAGCAGAAAGAGTCTGTGGGGAGCACATTTGTGGTGCTGGATGTCCTGCACCACTCATTCCACAGCTTCACAACTCCAACCACTTCCCAGCACACAGAATCCAGGATAAAAGACGACAGGAAAGCTGCAAAAACCCATTTAAAATGCTGTTATTTTATAAAGAATAAAACCTCTGCTTTACAAATAGCTGGACTAAATTTAATTATTCCTTTGCAATCTGAAGGAAGGATAACTCATTTTTATCAACTTAGATTTCCTGACCAAATCTAGGAAACATCAGCGATGTGATTAGCCCCTCTGTACTCAAATTAAAAAAGATGAAGAGATGTTCAAGATATACAGATCCCTAACACAAAAATCACTTGTTTTTGGGAATTATACTATTACAATCAACTTCAAATTTCTTAGTATTAATTAAGGATGTGAGATATTAAGTCTCTAATACTTTCTGACATAGCAGATTAAAAGCAAAACTCACTGAAGCAGCAAGGCAGAGCTATTACACTGGTTCTAGAAAACAGAGGCAAGAGTGTGGTAAAAAAAATGTTCATAAATCAGTTTCCTGTCAAAAGCTACAGAAGACAGATCCAAAATACCTATTTACCATTTTTCAAGGAGAAACCTGAACAAAACCCAAACAAAGTAGCAAAGTCAGCTTTGATAAAATCTAGCTGTCATTTAAATGTGACTTAAATGCAAGCAAGACTTCTGGGTACTATTAGATCAAAACTTTTGCCAATTAATAAACAATCCCAGAGAGTTTACCAAACAAAAGCCAGGTAAAGGGGGATTGTCCTAACTAAAATCCCAAAATAAACATACCTTCACTTTTCCTATTCAACTGAAAATACATCAATTTTCAGGAGGAGTAAACAGCTGTCACAATAACTGTGTTTCACACGTACAGAGGAACTTCAGCTTTCTTTGGACAACTCGGCTGCCTCCAGGTTTAACCTCTGCTCTTACATGCAGCAAATAGAGGGGCTTAAAGAAGGCTGGAGAGGGATTTTTCAAAAGGTAATGGGATGACAAGACAAGGGGGAATGAGCTGAACTCAAGGAGGGCAGGGCTGGATGGGATCTTGGCAACGAGGAATTGTTCCCTGGCAGGGTGGGCAGGGCTGGGATGGAATTGCCAGAGCAGCTGTGGCTGCCCCTGGATCCCTGGCAGTGCCCAAGGCCAGGTTGGACACTGGGGCTGGAGCAGGGAATGTCCTGGCACATTTCCACCTCCCTGGCACCCTCTGCCTGCCCAGATTTACCCCCAGCCCTCAGTCCCGCTCCGGCACGCACCCGCAGCGTTCCGCCCGATGGCCACGACGAACCTGGAGCACACCAGGGGCTGCTCGGCACAGGCCCACAGCACCTCCACCTCCCTGCGGAAAGAACCCACGACAGCCCGAGCTGGGAGGGACCCACAGGGACCATCCAAACCCAGCTCCTGGCCCGGTTTTGATTCCCAACAACCCCACCCCGGGCAGCCAAAGGAGCTCCGGCAGCCTCGGGCCGTGCCCATTCCCTGGGCAGCGCCAGCACCCTCTGGGGAAGGACTTTCCCCTGCGCTCCAGCCCGAGCCCCCCGCGCTGCCGGTACCTTTTCTTCTCGATCTCCCTGCGGATCTCCCGGTCCTCGGGCGTCTCCTCCCGCGCCTCCTCCTCCTCGTCCAGGCCGGCCCGGGACGGGGCCACCACCACCTCGCCGAAGAAGGTCGCCATGGCCGCCACTGCGCCTGCGCGGCGCCGCCCTCAGCGCCGAGCTCGCCCGGGAGGCTCCGAGCGGGAGCGGAGCCCACACGGGGCAGCTCCGGACGGCTGAGGGGAACTCGCAGAGATGGGAACTCCATCGCATCCTTTCCAAGGATTAACCATCCATTCAGTGGAGAAAATCATCCAGATATCCCATTTAAACCTCCGCTGCCTGACCTCGGTGTCGTTTTGTCCTGTCCCTGTTCCCTGGAGCAGAGCCCGACCCCCCGGCTGTCCCCTCCTGTCAGGGACTTGTGCAGAGCCACAAGGGCCCCTGAGCCTCCTTTGCTCCAGCCTCAGCCCCTTCCCAGCTCCCTCAGCCCCTGCTGGGGCTCCAGCCCCTTCCCAGCTCCGTTCCCTGCCCTGGACACGCTCCAGCCCCTCCAGGTCTCTCCTGCAGGAGCAGAACTGGGCACAGCCCTGGAGGGGCCTCTCAGAGCCAGCACAGAGGGACAATCCCTGCCCTGCTCCTGCTGGACACACAATTCCTCATCCAGCCCAGCTGCCAGGGGCCTCTTGCCCACCTGGGCACCCCTGGGCTCGTGTCCAGCCCTGTCCCCAGCACCCCCAGGGCTTTTCCAGCTTTCCAGCCCCACGGGGCTGTTGTCCCTTGGCCTGGTTGAACCAAATAAGAGCACAGTGAAATTCCAGGTGTATGCACAGCTTTACTTTGGTCCACTAACACATGTACATCATCAAAGCCTGTAACATGAAAGAATTTGACTCCTTTACGATTCTGTCCTGCACTTTAATGTTTCCCTCTGTTCCAAGCTGCCTGATCACCATCACAGACTCAGGTCCTGCTCTAAAACAAACCAAAACACCCCCCAAATGTCACATTAAAAAAACCCTCATACTTTAAAAGGCCTACTACTTTACTTCCCTGAGTACAGCTAGACCAAACAAAAAATGCTCACTTAAAGGAATATGAAAGGACTCCCAGTTCTGTAAGAGCCACCATGCTCCTTTAATAAATTAAAAATAAATACATTTTAAAAGGGTGACTCAAAATACCTTTCCAGTTTAATAATTTCTCTTCCCACTATGTGTATAAAATTAGGAAATACAGAGCAGCACATGCTTTGCCTACAAAATGAAAGAGTCAGGGTCCCTAAGGCAGTGACTCCCTCTGGGATCTGCAGCCCCAAAGGCCAGAACCTTCTCCAGCTTTTGGGGATCATGAACCTGTGTGTGCAGTGACAGAGCACAGCCCCTGAAAGAAAACCAGCTCTGTAAATCTAAGCCTAGATTAGAAACACAAACCTACCAGCCAGATTTTAGCTGTTCAAACTGAAAATCAATAAAAACTCTGATGTTCAGTTCAATTTTTCCCAAATTGGAGGTTGTACTCCAGAGAACACTGAGAATAAGCAGCTACTAAACAATAAAGTTTATGGAAAAGATAAAAAAATGGTGGACTTACTATCTTATACAAAGTTTGCTTCTCAAAGAAAACACAAAGCCACCTTCAAGTTTTATCACTAAACACAACTCTGTTTGTATTTCAGAAACCAAATAAAGAATCCAGATAAACACTTGTCTTGAATTTACAGAATTCTGCTGCATCCCATTAAAGACTATGCTCTAAATAAAACTTCCTGGGACAAGAACCATTGAAATTATTTTTTGACTTCACATGGAAGTTTTAAGGAAGGAAAAAAAAGAGTATTTCTCTGTTCTGAGATAAAACTGGGATAGCAAAAGTGATGGTAAATGCAATCAATATCAGTGAGGGTGTTGGAGAAGTGGCTCTCACTGATGGCAGCCCCATTTTCCATGATAATTTCCATTTGTACAGATTCTGTGATTATTCACCAGGATTGTTCAGCTGCAATAATTTTTTTACCCCCAAACCCTTCTGGATGCCACTACCAGTCCAACCTGCTGGAAAACCAATTCCCAAAGTTGCTATTTCAGTTCACATGAGCTAGGTTAGGATAAATCTGATATTCTGCCACATCTTCTACTGAATGATGAGATCAGGAATGACCAAGTTTTCCAAGGTGTGAGAAAGGGAAGCTGCAGAGAAGAGGAGGAAGGAGCAGATATTCCCTGGTGTTGGGCTGGGGGCAGCCAACTTGGGGCTCCCACCAGCACAATTCCAGGGGAAACTAAGAATTTGGAGCTGCTGTGTGTTTTTGTTGTTGATATGTGTTAAACCAGGGACTTTCATGGAAACTAAGAATTTGGAGCTGCTGTGTGTTTTTGTTGTTGATATGTGTTAAACCAGGGTCTTACAGGTTATTTTCCTGGAGAAATTTTCCTTCTTGTCAACGAGAGCCACCTCAAACATTGTGAAAACAGGAGATATACTGCATTGCTCAGAAACTGGTAAGGTTTAATCAATGGGAAATCCAACATTCAAACACTTTAAATATGGAGGAACAACAGAAACGTAGCAAAAAAAGGTCTGGAATGTGGGAATCCTGCACCTCAAGCTTTCCACGCATAAAGAAAACAGAACAAGTGTTTTGTTTGTTTTTCTATTTTATAAAGAAAACACACAAAAACCCTTTAGGCCCAAGAGTTCACCTGCATTTCATAATGTTAAAAGTTTACAGTATAGAAGTCACATTAATGATGTACTACCTGTCAGCAGAACCCTCTGGTCACCAAAGCCTCTGGAAGTGGCAAATCAACTTCTTCACTGGTCACTGCTTGTCAGCAATGCAAGCACAGGACACTGAACACCTGCACTGATTGAGCTGGGAAGGTATCAGCCTTTTCATTCCTCCCTGGAAGCAATGCTTGCATCCACCAGGATTTTAGAGTGTGTACTATTGTTTAGAAGTTACTATTGTAGATGATTTCATACAGCATTAGAGATGTTTGAAATCTGTTCTTGAATGTTGCATGACCTAGGTAGTATTTCATTGCAGCACCCATAACAATAATACTCAACATACTGCTATTAACCTGTTTGCAGTGTTTTAACATTTTTTAACTCTTGTTTATATGTAATAAAATACCAGTAAAGACAAAAAAATTGCCCCTATAATGAGGCACATTTTGGCATCTGTGCTAAATGCTGCTACATGGGCAGGCAAGTGCAAGTCAAAATATGAAAAAGGAGAAAAGTCATCATCTAATCACATTCATAACTTTTTCATAGAAAAATATAAATATATTCCCTGAAATGTAGGACAAAGAAGAGCCAGCACCCACCAGGAGTTCTAGTATTCCTACCAAAAAAAAAAAAAAGAAAAAGAAAAAAAAAACCAACAAAAAAAATAGAGATGGGCTGGCTATCCTTTAGTTAAGGTTACGTCTCGCAGGCGGCCTCCTCGAGGGCTCTGTCGTCGTCGTGTTCGTGGTAGCGCACGGTGCGCCGGCCGCCGTTGCGCGTGCGGATCTTGGAGCGCCGCCGCCGCCGGCACTCGCCGAACTCCACCTCCTCCGAGTCCTGCTCCTGGCTGCCTTTCCGCCGTTTCCTGCGCTGCGGCCTCCTGCAAGGCTTCAGGGAGTCGTGGTTCAGGGTTTCCTTCCTGCCGCCTTTGGATTTCCTCTTGCGCTTCCTGGTTTCCGCCGCGTCGCTGCAGATGGTGGTGTCGGTTCCAGAGTCCGAGGAGAAACAGGTGAAGTTGGCTTTGGAGCTTCCTGCAGCCCCAGCTGCTTCCACGTCCTCGGAGACAGAGCTTTTCTCCTCTTTTTTCCCCCCTGTTTCGGATTCTGTTGTTTCCTTGAAGTCATCCACCCGTTTTAATCTCTTGAAGGAAGCTCTGGGTTTTTTATTTGCTGCTACTCTGGTATTTTTAGTTTCAAGTTTAGCCAAGTCAGAATCTACCTCCTCTTCGGAGTTACTCGTACAATGGTTGTGGGCTGAAGCTGCCTGCCTAGAAATCCCCCATTTTCCCCCATTTTCTACCCTGTGGTTTGTGGAATTCTCCTCCGAGGAGTCGTAGTCAAAATTATTATTCAGAGCTGCAGCACAGAGGGGTTTGTGTGGCTGCACGTGGTTACCACTCTGCTTCCCAGTCTCTGTCTCCGAGTCAGTCCTTTCATTCTCAGACTCAATAATATATTTCCTTTTAGAAACAGAAGGCTCAGGGCAGGAAGGTTTTTTCCTGCCAGAAACCTGCTCGCTCTCATTTTCAGACTTGGAACAAGCCTCCACCTCCGAGCTGTTGAACAGCTTCTTCCTGCACACCGAGGACACGCTGCCCTGGAGCTGCTTGCGGTTCTTCCTGACGGGGTAAACACTTTCTGAGCTGGATAATTCCTCCTTGGCATCGCTCATGATCTTGATCTTGCTGGCTGCCAGCGTGGCACACCTGCGGGGGTTCTTCTTCTCCCCCACGCTGGACAGCCTGATGTGTTTCTTGTAGTTGATGATGCACGTCCTGCTCCGCAGCACTTTGGCACTCTGGCTGGCCTCCTCTGATGTTTGCTCTGCAAAAGGAAGATGGAAAAGTTCTTTTTAATGTCTTACATTCCTGAAATTATTTGTTTATTGTGGCCAAACCCTGCCACCTTTAATGAAATACACAAGTGTTATTTTGATTTCAACTGTTAAGTGCAATTTATCTCAATTCTTTATTAAAATACCAGCAGTATCCCAGGGATACTTTTAATTCTTGAGATTGACACTTACAAACCTTTTCATGGTCGCAAAAGAGCTTTTTTTAGCATCACCCTATCAATTAGCTCAGAAATTACAAATTCCCTCACTTAGCAAACAAATGCTGTCATATTAATAATACTTGTATCATTAACAGTTGTATTTTTATACTAGAATAAAAGCTGCAATGTTAATTACACATTTTAGACCTTTTATCCTAAAAAAGAAATGACAGTATTTCATGTGATGCAAATTTCATGTAGATTTCAAATTTAAATTTTAGATGGTTTGAGGCAGAAAACATTGAAACCCTTCAGCTCCTTAGTGACCTTCCCTGTTAGCAGCAATCTGAGTGTTAATCTTCCATTCAGTGATTTTAAATTAATATAGAACTCACTTGTGTTGTATTTTAAAACAAATATTCCAT